TAATAATAATAATAGGAATTATATTATTAAAAATAATAATTGTTATTTTCACCCCATATAGATACTATTATACAAAATAATAATAATTATTATTATTATCTCCATCCCATATGGATATGGACTTCTGCAAGAGAAGACTGGAATTAATGAACTCTTAAAAGAGAGGTCCGGTTTCCAAAACCCAGCCGATGGGCGGGTTCATAACAGGTCTGTAATTGCTCACTCTCTACCAATTTTTCGATTCCCATTTACAAGTAATTGCTGAATCAAACACCTCATGTTTGCTTTATCTCCTAAAATCCTCTAGTTGTTCCTGGGATTATCAAACCAGTCCTTTTCAACCTAATTGCACTCTCCGTGATGGGCCAGATGTGTATGATAAGTCCTGCTCGTGGCTGCGTCAATTGCTCCACTCTATTTATGCGGCTCCCCGAGCAGCTACATTATTTATCCCCTCCCCCAACACAATTTGGCTTGTGTGCCTGTGTTTTAAACTGGGTTTGAAGCATTTAATTTTGCCAATACAATTTTAGGGTATTAGTTCGCCTCCTGTTCTGTCTCTGCCCTCCTTAATTACCATTTATTGCAAAGTCACACAGACACATTAAATGCTAATTCTGACTTACGTGTTCCTGGCCAAGAGCGAGGATAATAATTTCCATCCGATACAACCTGAACTCATTTTATATAAGGGTGATTCAGAGTAGAGATTTGAAATCGTAATCAAGTCTTTCTCAAAATCGCCTTACCCTAGCAGACATTCACTAATGTCTCTGCTAATTGGTAGGCAAATGGCAAAAAACAAAAATCTCAGTGTTAAACACACACACACACACACACACACACACACAAAACAACAACTTTGTAACATCATTCGTGAAATTGCTCCTCTCATCAGCTCTTGCAACGTGACAGCTTAAGAAGGGAACACAACTCATTTTATTTGGTTAGATGGGGCTAATCCCACATCACCATAATCCCTCCTGATGTTTTATTGATTCTAAAGGACATTTAATCAGGAAGCAGCTCAGCACTAGAATCCTGCTAATTAGCAAGCAGCCACATTCCAAATGGGTTCCCAATTGAACAGCAGATTAATGGACAATATGTATTAAAATAATGATTCGTGCATTCAGCTCCTAAAATGTGTGTCTAAATTGCATCTTTAATCTCTTAAGGATATAGGTTTGCATACAAAGCCCTTAACGGAATGGATTTAATTCAACAGAAGAAGCTTTAGCCAATGGCTGTTTAAGGATGAAACAAGTGTATCACTTATAAATGCAATTCTTCACTGGTTCTCTTGGTTTGATGTCCTTGAACATTCAAAGGTCAAAGACAGGTGAATAAAGAAACCTGTGTGCTTCTCTCATATGCATTTAAAAGAGTGGGGAATTGAGAGTATTGATATACATAGGCTAACCTCATTTGCTCCCCATTCACTCTTACTCTCAAATAGTTGTTTCCTGTAATCTTGGTTCTGGACCCCATCTTTTAATCAAGTATACTATGTACCAGGTATAATGTGAGCTCTGATACTTTCATTTTCTCTATTTATTTTGGTACCTTTTGGGGACTCCCAATTTTAGCTTATTGGTTTTCTATTTGGCTCTTAACCCACTTTTCTGCTCTTGCTGCTTAATCACCTCCCTCCCCCTTACTCAACCACCCCCAAGATCTTAGAGAAGGGAAACTTTCCTGTCCTAATCTGGTCTAGTGGAAATTCATTAGCTAGGCTCAACCTCCTCCCATCATTTATTTATCACTTAAAATGTTCTCATTAACTTTTAGGCTTCTTTGTTTCTCAGTATTGCTCTTATCATCCTGTGATGGCCACGCATTCCATATTACTTATTGTTTCTCTTCCCAATAGAATATAAGCTTCAGGGCACCTGGATGGCTCAGTCAGTTAAGCATCTGACTCTTGATCTTGGCTCAGGTCATGATCTCATGTTTGTGACTTTGAGCCCAGTGTGGGGCTCTGTGCTGACAGTGTGGAGTCTGCTTAGGATTCTCTCTCTTCCTCCCTCTCTCTCTCTGCCCCTCCCCACTCATGTCCTCTCTTACTCTCTCTCAGTTAAAGAAAAAAGAATATAAGCTTCAAGAGGGGGGAGACTCTTTCATTCATGTCCATATTCATAATGATTAGAGTAGCACTTGGTAAACAGTAGGAACTCTATAAATATTTGTTAAATAAATGAATAAATGAATTAATAAAATATTTGCTGTATACTTTCCATGTTCCAAGTACTGGCCTACAAGATGTTGGGAATCTAATGTGAAGGAAACAGTCATTTTCTTGCCAGCATGGATATTATGATCTAGACATTAAAGTAACAAATCACGTAAGTACATAATTACACATAATGATAAATTTTATGGAAAAAAATAGCTGGGAGCTAAGAGAGAGTATAGCACAAGGAAGCTGCTTTTGATGAGGTGGTTAGGAATGGCCTTCTTCAATCTGACCATGAGAGGGACTAGTCACAATTTGTGTATCTGTATGCATCCTTGAGACTATTTTGAGATTCCATCCCTTCCTTAATTCAGTTCAATGTCATAAATACTTAGTGGATTCTAATATGTGCCAGGAAGCGCTGTAAACCCTTAGGATATATCAATGAGTAAAACAAAGATTCTGCCTGCCCCCTGGAACTATAGCTTATAGTCTATCAGAGATTGACTGGTAACAATAAACTTCATACATCAGCAAATCAACTAACGTATTAGAAGTCGATAAGCATGTAGAAGAAAGCAGAAGTAAAGCAGGTTAAGCAGAAGAGGGGTGACAGACTACAACTTTAACTAGGATGTTTAGTGTAGGCCTCACAGACAAGGTGACATTTAAGCAAAAAATAAAATAAAATAAAGGTGAGAGAGTTAGCATGAGGATATCTGAGAAAGAACATTTTAAGTAGAAGATACATTCAGAGGATAGTTGCTAAGGTGGATGTGTGCGTGTGAGGAAGACAAAGAGCACAAGGTAACTGGAACAGAATGAGCAAAGGAAGTTGTAGATGAAGTCAGAGAAGCAAGGCAGGAGCAGATCACGTCAAATCCTTTATAAGGACTTTGATTTTTTTTCCTTTTTCTTTCCTCTGAGTAAAATAAGATTATCTTGCAGTTTCATGAGCAAAACAATGAAATAGATTATTTTAGGTTTTAATAGATCACTGTAGCTGCTGCATTGAGGACAAACTAGGGAGAAACCCAGTTCAGTTAGGAGGCTATTAAAGTAATCCAGGAGAAAGATAACGGTAGCTTGAATGAGGTGCAGTTAAGTAATAATAGAGGTGGTGAGAAGTAATCAGATTCTGGGCGTATTCTGAACATAGAGTTACTTTACTAATTAACTTTCTATGTATTCAGTAATACATACTGAATTACATACTTTATGTAATTATTGATACGGTTGGGTTTAAGTCTCACATCTTGATATTTATTTTCCATTTATCTTATTTGTTTGTTTCCCTTCCCTCTTTTTTTGTCTTTTTTATCATTTAAATATGCTTGTTTCCATTTTACTTTTTAATTAGCATTTTAACTCATTACATTCTTCCTTCAAACAAAATTATACTACTTAATTTTTAGTAGAAGAACCATACTTTTCCGTACATTTTCATTTCCCCCTCCCAGATTTGTATCCTATTGTCAAATGTTGCACTTATGTTATGAATCCCATGGTGTAGTATTCTTATTTTGCTTTAAATAATTAATTATCTTTTCAAGACTTTTTAAATAAAAGATATATTTTTAATTCATCCATACGTTTACTATTTCCAGGGCTTTTACTTTTTTGTGTGTAGATCCAAAATGATCATTTTCCTTCTGCCTGAGGACTTCTTTTAATATTTGTAGTACTGCTCTGATTGTTATGAATTCTCTCATCTCCATCTTATCTTTGTTTTAAAGTCTATTTTATCTGATGTAATTATAGCTACCCAGCTTTCTTTTGGTTCTCATTTGCATAGAACGTCTTTTTCCATCCCTTCACTCTCATTCTGTGCATTGTCTTTACATCTGAACTGAATCTCTTACAGGCAGTATATAGATATGTCTTGTTTCTTTTTAATCTATTCAGTCACTCTGTATCTTTTGATTCAGAATTTAGTCCAATTACATTTAAAGTAATTATGGATAGGTATGTACTTATTGCCATTTTGTTCATTGCCTTCTGGTTATTTTGTAGTTCCTCTGTTCCTTTCTTCTCTTGTTCTTTTCCTTCGTGGTTTAATGACTTTCTTTAATGGTATACTTAGATTCCTTTCTCATTGTCTTTTGTGTATCTACTATAGGTTTTGCTTTGTGGGCACCATGAGGCTTACATATAACAACTTATAATGGTTTGTTTTAAGTTGACTGGTGGAAATATGAACTATTCCCAACCCTGGTACAAGATCTAAAAATTTTTGCTTCTTTCTTTTGTTCTTTATTCCCCCATCTGGCGTTGGGTAATTTCCTCAAATAGATACATTAGCCAGTACTCACATGAAGACTAAAGAGCAACTCTTTAGAAATCTTCAGAGAGGAATCTTTGGATCTCTCTTCTTCACTGCTCTGTACCATGCTTTCTAGCCTTCTTGGCCTTCTTGAACTCTAAATGTCATTCCTTTAACTGAAGAAGAATCTGGGCTCTGGGTTTCCTCTTCTTGTTCAGTAAGCTTAGCTTACCTTATTTATTTTTCCTTCTTCAGGAATTGCTGTCCTGTGCTGTCTGTTGTCAAATGTCTGAGAACTATTGTTGCACATATTTTGTCCAGATTTTTAGTTGTTTAAGGTGGAATGGTAAATCTGATTCTTGATGGTCTATAATAGTTGGAACTTGAAGTTTCCTGTTTTATCTTTCTATGACTGAGAAGCCTCTCTCCTTAATATAAGCAAACATTCCTCAACTATCTTCAAGTGATGAAATTGATAGCTTCACACAAAAAAACGTCTAACGGCAGATCTCAGTATTTGGTGTCCTAATTAAGGACTATGTGAATAAAAAATCAACTTACTTTATTTCACCATAGTAACCCAAATCTTGATGGTTTAGCAATGTTTCCAAAAAACTCAAAGTCAGATATAATCCATGCTTTCCACAGATAGCCCGGACCTGCAGAATAAGAAAGAAATTGGAGTTTCATTATAATGAAATTAAGATTTGAATTTCCTTCCCATAATTAGAACCCATATGATTCTGACAAAGAACTAATACCCAGAGATGCATTATCCCATCAGAATATCACTTAGGACAAGAACATCCAACTGAATGAGCACTAGGTGATGTATGGAATTATTCCATCACTGTATTGTTCACCGGGTACTAAGAGAACACTGTATGTTAAATATACTGTAATAAGATTTTTAAAAATTAAAATAAAAAAATAGCAAATTTTTATTCGGTTGGTGCAGAGTTATTGTTACGGAACCTGGTCTGGATCACCTGGTAGAAGAATCAGGAGACATTCAGATCTTGGAAGGCAGGAGGTTTATTTTACACTAGTGGGCTCAGAGGAGATCACTCTCTCAGAGGCCTGAGACTGGAGGGTAAGCAGAGAGAGAACAATTTATAGTCTGTTACTTCCACATTTCTCATTAGTAGTAATTTAGTGGGACAAGTGGGGTGGGAAGAAGAACCCAGAAGGGGAGTCTTCCATCAGGGATTGGAATTCCCCTATCTTGCCTGTCAGCCATCTTATAACAGATTTTTCCCTATCAGTACCATTCATTATTCAGAAGCCATTGGACTTTGAAAGGTTGGTCTTAAATTTTTGACAGCAATGGAATGGGTGGTTAAGGCCTAGAAATTATATATACTTTTATATAGCTAAGTTGCAAATTTTTTTTGTGTATCTCCTTTGATTTATAAAACAAACTTGATGTATTAGCATGGTCAATATTGTTATCTGCATGTCATATATGACAAAACCAAGACTTAGACTAAGTTGCTTCCTTGATGTTACACAGTTAATAAATGATGGAACTCAGTCTAGAAACCAGATGCCAAACACATTTCTGTTGGATGAATGAATATAGTGTCATTGTAGTTTCCCACGTACTTAATATTTTCCAAGTCTAGCTGAAAAATCAGTTCAGTTCTCAGGTCGGTGAGTGGGTGACACTTAGATTCAAACATATCAGACTTTTAGGGGTAGGATAGCATGTGTTGTGTGTTTAGCATAATGTTTAAATATAGATTTTGGAATGAAACAGGACTCATTTTGGACACCAGATCTGCTGTCTGTGATCTGTGTGACCTTCTATGCCTGGTGTTTTATCTACTAAATAAGACTAATATTTTCAAATTCCTAGGGTTCTGTGAGGTTTACATGAGAAAATAAGCAATTAGAATAGTGCCTGGCTTCTAGTTAGGCATTTGATTAATATTTGTTGAAATGAAGAGAAGAAGGAAGGGAGGAGAGAAAGAGTGAGGAGAAGGAAGGGAGGGAAGAGAAAGAAAGGAGAGAGAGGATAGAGGGATTAGAGGAGAGGAGAGAAGGGGGAGAGAGAACAAGGAGAAAGAAGGGAAGGAGGGAAAAATGGAAGGGAGGGAGGAAAGGACAAAGAAAAAGAGATGTTTAATTTAGTGTTTGGATTAAATAGTAGTTACTATTACTACTTTGAGAGGAAGTTCAGTATAGTGAATGCATTAAGCATGGTTTTTATCCTGATGATTTGACATTGTGGGCCTTTGAGACCATGGAGTGATTGTGCCCCCACCCCCTAGTACCCTTATCACCACAGGGCCAAGTACTAGGCAGCCCCAGAGTCCCTGAGCTCACTGAAATAAATCAAACCAGCCAATCCTAAGCCTGCTTACCCTGCCTTGCCCATTCCATGGGGAGGGCTCGTGACCACATTTCCCCCTGAACCCCTCTGCTTCCTGGCCAACCCTGCTGTTTCTGGTGTGGCCTCTGTGAATGTGCCATGCTCCCTCCCCTTGGGAACTGTGAGTAACAAACTGTCTCTTCAGTGGCAGTCATCTCCTGATCTGTTGGTCAGACCATAGCTGAATAATAATAAAGCCTAGATTTTATTTTATTTTTTTTATTGTAAAAACTTTATTTATTTTTTTTACAAATAGTTTATTGTCAAATTGGTTTCCATATAACACCCAGTGCTCATCCCCACAAGTGCCCTCCTCCATGCCCATCCCCCCTCCCCCTCACATTCATCAGTCCTCAGTTTGTTTCTCAGCATTCAAGAGTGTCATGGTTTGCCTCTCTCCCATTCCCCACCATTTTCCCCCGTTCTTCTCCCCCATGGTCCTCAGTTAAGTTCCTCCTAATCATTCTACACATGCAAACATATGCTATTTGCCCTTCTCTGCCTGACTTATTTCGCTAAGCATAAAACCCTCAAGGTCCATCCATGTTGCTCCACGTGGCCAGATTTCATTTTTTCTCATTGCCATGTAGTATTCCATGGTATAGATAAACCACATCTTCTTGATCCATTCATCCATTGATGGACACTTAGGCTCTTTCCATGTTTTGGCTATTGTGGAGAGTGCTGCTATGAACATTGGGGTACATATGCCCCTATGCATCAGCACTCCTGTATCCCTTGGGTAAATTCCTAGCAGTGCTATTGCTGGGTCATAGGGGAGTTCTATTGTTAGTTTCCTGAGGAACCTCCACACTGTTTTCCAGAGGGGCTGCACCAGTTTACATTCCCACCAACAGTGTAGGAGTGTGCCCATTTCTCCACATCCTCACCAGCATCTAGAGTTCTCTGATTTGCTCATTTTAGCCACTCTGACTGTCGTGAGGTGGTATCTCAGTGCGGTTTTGATTTGTATTTCCCTGATGAGGAGGGGTGCTGAGCATCGTTTCATGTATCTGTTGGCCATCTGGATGTCCTCTTTGGAGAAGTGTCTGTTCATATCTTCTGCCCATTTCTTCACTGGGTTGTTTGTTTTTCGGGTGTGGAGTTTGGTGAGTTCCTTATAGATTTTGGAATAAAGCCTAGATTTTAAAATAGTGACCAAAAAAACTAATCTTGGTTTGTCATGATGGAAGGAAATAGACAACAAATCTAAGTTTAAAACTTGTACATGTTACTTACGAGGTATAGAGGAGTAAGTAATGTCAGGGATGTTTAAAGGAGGAAAAAAGATCAATGTGAAACATAAAAATGAAAACTTGGTAAGAGTTTACCAGAAGAATAAGGGGTCAATAAAAATTCCAGACAGAAGTAAAGCATGTGTATTTAGTGGATAAGAAGGAGTATGGTACTTTTTCAAAACTGCATATGTTTTGACATTATCCACCTACTATAGTTTTATACCCTTTTCCAGACTGGGCAGTAATTATTTGTTCACTAGAGCTTTATTACAAAACCCTGGCTTATTGAGGACTGTGGTTGTGTTTCATTCATATTCGGATGACCATTGTGTAGCACCTACTGAAAAATAAAGGATCAATAACTATTGAACAGATGAATACGTAGAGGAAAAAGGAAGTGAATGAATGAGTTGAAGACAGAAAAGAGTAGAGAGTGTTTGGGCAGAGATTGGCAAAAGTAAATTTAGAGAAGTAGAAATCAATGACGTTATGCCATTTTACTCCATAAACAAGAATTGAATTAGCCTCATGATTAGAGCATATTAATGTATGTATTTTTAAACATCAGAGGTTATTCTAAAAACAGTTCATTTACTTCTGGCAACACTGAGTTTTGCTCTAGGCTAAAATGAACAGCAGATTAGAAATAGTACATCAGGGTTCCTAGAAGCAGATTGATTGATAGCTGCTAAGAACCGACAGTTATAAAGGAGAAAAAAAAAAATCTTCCAGAAAATTCTGCCAATGTAGTGTTATTCAGGATTATTACTAAATTGTTTAGAGCATGACTACACGTAATGATGACCCTTGTTCAATAAGAAAGCATTTCATTGTGCGTGGTTCCTTCTGTTTAGTAAGGAGATGTTTTTTAATCAAAAGTAAATCAAATGTCCACATTATTTAGAAAATGCCATGTGAAATAAACATTCATTTCCTCAAAATGCTCCTTGAAAGAGCGGCAAGCAGATGCTCTCTCAACTTCCTCTCTTCCCACTTATGGCTCCATTTGCATTTTACCCCATCACTGTACTTAAACTGTATTTGCCAAGTCACTTGAAACTTTCATGGTTTGAAATTGCCTGAGCATTTTCCAGTCCTAATTATAGATGGTATCTTCACAGCATGTAACATGGCTGATCATACCATCCTTCTATAGATATCTTTTTTGGCTTTCCTGATCACTCCCATGTCTTGTTTGATTGTTTTTAGTCTCCTGTATTGCCTTCTCTTCTACCTATTCCTTTACAATGAAAGTCCTCCTCAATCTTCCCTTCTCACTTTCTATTATGTCCTTGGGTAACCCTGACTACTCCCATGGCTTCAACTCCATATTGAAGAAAGACCCTTAAATCATTATTTAATTTCTTAACCCAGATCCATGTGTTTAACACTGAACTCCCCATCCTGTCCTCTATTCCTCCAATGTTACTCCTTTTCTGTTTTCTGTTGCAGAGAATGATATCACGAGTCACCAAGTTGCCAAAGCCAAAACGTTGGGAGTCATTTTATATTCTTCCTAATTCAGGGCCCATATCCAGTTTGTTACCAAGACCTACTTTACTACCTCCTTAATAGCTCTATCTCTCCTGCTCTGCCCTGGTTTAAAACCTCATAATTTCTTGCTTGAATTGTTGGAACGGCCTTCTAAAGAGCTCTCTTTGCCTCTAATTCTTCCTATTCCATTAGGGTGCTTTTTCAAATTTCAAATTTGATCATATCATTCACTGTTTAATACCTTTTGATGATCCTTTTGGTCCTCAGAATAAAGTTAAGCTCCTTAGAAAGACCTTTCATAAATTGGTTCCCACTTTCTATTCTAACATTGCCTTGAGCAGCATCTCCCACCAATCTCAGCCACCAGGTACCTGCTAGGTTCTATCTACATGAATGACTTACTGTTCCCTGAATTAGCTGGGCTCTCTCTCATTTCAGTTCCATTTCACATTGTTCTTTTTTAAAAAATTTTTAAAAACGTTTTTATTTTATTTATTTCTGAGAGAGAAAGAGAGACAGTGTTGAACAGGGGAGGGCCAGAGAGAGAGGGAGACACAGAATCCGAAGCAGGCTCCAGGCTCTGAGCTAGCTGTCGGCACAGAGCCCAGCACGAGGCTCGAACTCATGAACTGTGAGATCATGGCCTGAGCCAAAGTCGGATCCTTAACCGACTGAGCCACCCAGGTGCCACCACATTGTTCTTTACATGCCTCTCCCATCCCTTCATTTGCTTCTCTTCCGATTTCTTTGTCAAATTCACCTGCCTTCTAAGACTTAGCATTTGCATCATCTCTTCCGGAAGGTTTTGAGTCAGGCTAGTTTGGTGTTCCTTCTTTGTGTTCCAAGTTACTGTCATCACTGCATTTGTCATACAGAGTTGTGACATGTTTGAAACGTCACCTTTCCCCTGGGTTCCCGGAGAACCCAGCAACTGAAATCATAATACTCTCCTCTTCTTAGTGCCTTTGCATCATGCTCAGAACACTGGCTGTGGATCTACATCATTTCAGCAATCTTGCCAGAAGCCATCATTGCATCAAGATGTGCTAGAGACACAGGAGTGAGTCCACAGAATGGGGATGGTAGATGTTTGATAAGTTTTTAGACTGTTCTTTAAGAGAAAAATTTCATTCGAGCAGCAAGACCCATAGATGATCCTTCAGACTACATTGATTTGAGAGGCTACAGACAATCTGTGAACCCTCTGAAATGTTGGCTGTGAAGACGGCAACCCCCACCGACGCCTCCAATACAGGGGCACAGAGTGCATTGACTTCATGAGAAATTTAAGGAAGTCAATGATTCTTTCCCCTATGCTCTAAGGAGATTAAGAATTACTGGTTAAAAAGACAAGCCCTTCTAACGCATACCCTTTCCTGGTGTACTCTCAAGTCCTGTGTCCAAAAGCATGAATGTTGGCGCACAGCTGGTGCTGGTTTTTTGTATCCAGTGTCCCTTGGGCCTCAATTTGTCTCACGTTCTGGGGAAACAGAATTCTATTTTATATGCCTCCCAGACTGTAATATACTTTGAGTGAGTTCCAGATGTCTTAAGAGATGCCAGATGGCTCAAGAGAGGCTGACCAGCTTCAAGGAAAATGTGCCCCATTTCCTTGTATATGAACCACAAATTTAAGCTTTCAGAACTAGCTCTGAGAGCCAGCACTCAATGTGGCCATCACTTGACCCTGGGAAAGATTCCCCTTCCTTGGGCTGTTTTGAGTAATAATTTAACCAAACACTGATTTTTTTTTTTAATCAGAAGAAAAGGAAACTAGTATTTACGGAGTGCCTCATATATTAGCGTGCTAAGTGCCTTCACATATTTATCCTGTTTAGTCCTTACAATAGATGCAGGAGGCAGATATTTCAAACCTAGTTTTTCCACTGGGTTTGAACACTCAAAGAGTTTAAGAAAACTTATTTTGATTCCCAAGTTATTTATGTTTTATTTTCCAAGTACCTGAGAACATTCAAGCTCCAATGGTGGTGTTGTGTAATTTCCAATCTAACACAGAATCGCTGCTTCTTACTGATCTTATGAACATAGTGAAAGGTATTTATGTTGGGTGGAATCTCCTATAGTGTGCTCCCTTTCTCTTTCTAGTGAAACATACTTGCATGTGTCATATGCACATGCATACACACACATTTACACAGTACCATGACCTTTGCCTTTGCATGATTAGTTGACTGCATAAATGAGAGCACAGAGAAAGCTGCTCCTGTTCTGAGATAAGAATCCACTGTCAGTATATTGTATCCTTGCTTCCTTAGCAGACATCACATGTTCTTTTAAATTCTCTCTCATTTCTAACCCCTGTTTGCCTAGATTAAAGGCATTCTCCCATCTTTTCTATAACATTTTATTTTTCCTTTTCTTTCCCCCAGTAATTTCCAATCCCTTTAGTCCTCTGGAATTCTAAGTCTTGTGTCCCAGACTTTATGGATGCTTCCAGACATCTTCTGCCTAATAGAGTTCCAATTTTGGTGCTCAGTATCCCTGTACTCTTCTGTAGTTTGAACCTTGGCTCTACAGCTTGCTAGCTGTAGCCCTTGGGTGATTCAATTGGCCTCTCTGAGACTCAGTATTTTCCATTGTGAAATGGATATTATAACATCTATCTGGATTTTGTAGTTATCGGTAAATGTTAAATGAAAATAATGTAACTAAAGCATTTAGTGCATTACTTGGCACTTAGTAAGAACTCAATGAAGCTTGGTGGTGACAAGTTGTTGTTAATGGAATTGTAGTAATGGTCGCAATTATTATTTCCCGTGTCTGAAGTAGCCTCATGCCTAGGGTTTGTTTGGCTGAAGACAACACTTGAGTTAATGTGGTTCTGGATCTTCTTCCATAAAACACATCTGCACTGTTAATTAATGCTCCCAAACCACAGACTAATCTCAATCAGTAATAAATCACATTAGTTCCTAAACTTTGGTGTTCTTAAAGCACGTGCCACATGCTGATGTCACTGGAAGCTGGTACTGGGTGTGAGAAACGAACACTTGGCCTTGGAAAAATATTTGTTTTCCATTGTGAAATGTTACTTGGGTGTTGTCATATTCTCTGTTATTAACATAAAACATATCTCAGTGTAAGTAGTTCCTGGACCAATTTCTGCACATTCCACAATCCCATTTCTTTTTTCTTTTTTTTTCCTCAGGCACAGAAAACAATCTATAATGTGATCCACAGGCAGAACACAGATCATAACTGTGGTTTCTTACAGACCCAATGCCCTGAGGTAGCATTTGGAGGTCAACAACTCTGAACTCGAGTTTTGGTTACCTTGGGTAGGGGCAGGGAGCCAGAGAACAAGCGATCTTCCCTTCGAAAATTCCGACTGAGGTTCTCTATGTTGAGTTTGCCATTAGTTGTCCTTAATGCCATCAAAATCTCCGACAGGCTCTTGCTCACTTCTGACTGTGAGCTGGCACCTTGAGGAGCAGTACTGTTTGGAGGGGCGGGGGACATGCTATGAAGAGATGATCTGCCCAGAGCCTCCCTATGTTTTCATACCACATCTCTCACCCCCGACATATACTGTAAACCAGAGAACCCATCCAGGAAGGTCTTCTAAATCTCAGTAACCTGGTCACATCCGAGCATGAAGACTTCCTAGATTAATTCCAATCTATTCCATTCTCCTGACCACTAGAGTCTCTTCTCCACGAGGCACCATTTCAACTAGAACAGAAACCAAACTTTGTAATCTAATCTCCAGCTCTTTTTTTCCAGGTAGAGAGCAAACATCAGAAGTGACCACAATAGTTTACTTTAGCTGCCTGATCTTACTTCTCTTAAGCCCAGATAATTATTGATAGGAAATCAAATTTCCAAACTGTTCATTGCCACGAGCAAAGCAAAGCAGATCCTCCCAGATCCCGGTAACCAGGGAACCTATATAGAAGGAACTCTTGAATCGAGTGAACTTCCTCTGTTATCCTTGACTCTGCAATTTGTATCTGGAAAACCCAGAAAAGTTTCAGTAATAATGATTTTGCAAATGTTTATAATTATTAAGATGGTTTATCTCATTGACTATTGTTACTTTAAATAGTAGGTGAACAACCACAGGGTGATAAGGTGTTACAGTCATGTATTTATTTGATTTAACCAGTTTGAGATGTTTGCTCATTTAGCACTCAAATAATGGTCTTTCCAGATCCCTCTGAACTATCTTCTCAGCAGTGGAGCTTTTGCTAATTTCCACCATCTCAATGTAAAGTGCCACTTCCCTACAGGGACATTCTGTGACATCCCTCAGCCTCCACTCCTGTAAATCAGCCTCCTTTCAGTGGTGTGCCAGTAAACTTTATCACCTGCTCTCCAAGATAAGGCCCTGATCTGGAGCATTTGTAATTTTCATGGTGTAAGTATTCCCACCATGGCTGACCTCAAGCTACCAACCTGATGTCGCTGAATGAATATTTGGGAAGTGATGCTCCCAATTGGCTCCCAGTGGTGCTCCAGCACCCTGTGCATGATCGACTCTTTTATAATATTCCTTGTTCTTTTCTTTAGTAAGTCTCCCTCATATTGCAATCACATCTTTTATTTCTTTGGTTACTGTTTCATGTCTGACTTCCCTACGAGACTGCTCCATCAGATGTGGGTCAACTCTGTTTTGTTTCTTACTATTTGCTGGGGATCCTGTACAGTACTTGGAATCGATTATTTTTATATGTGTTTAACTTTGACTAAAGGTCATATCGCATCTTCTTTTTGCTCTGTGACTCTTACTCGAGCTTTCGTCTAATAGCTAATAATTTCCAAAAGCTGGGCACAGGAAGGGGTGGCTGTGTGTCCTTGTTTTGGTCACATAGTTTCTGCACCTTCCTTCCTTTGTGCAGAGAGTTCTCTAGCTCAGGCGTCTGCCTCTCACTCCAGCTGAGGCAAATGCCAACTATTTATTTGCTTTACTAGTCTCTCTTTGCTGATGGAGTGAGCATGTGACCCAGGCCTTGCCAGTCAGATGTATCTGTCCCCAATTTGAATTGCAAGTTCTTCCTCATTCCTTTCCTTGCAGTGCCAGTTCCCGGGGGTAGGAATTCATGAGGCTTTGGTCCCTGACTCCAAACACCAATTGCTAAATGGGAGGGAGTTGTACGGAACCCATTTGTTTCAGCCAGTGGGGGTTCTTAGGAAACCGGCTGCTGGAGTTGGTATCATCTGGTCCAACTTAGGTAAGGAGAGCTATGGCCACTGTTGTTGCCACAGGTGCTGCTGGAGGCTTTTTAAACATCACAGAGCCGCCCCGTTAAAGGCTCTCCCTGACAGAACACGGGAGAGCCTTTTCCTGAGTAGCACATTGATTAACAAAGAGCATGGATTCATTACAGGCCATCAGTGCTGCACTTCCACAAACATGCAGTCTGCTTTGTATAAAGTAGCACCTTCTCTGATGAGTTCAAAATGATCTCTCTGTGCACCTCTTTTACAGAGTAGATATCCAGATGTCCCTGCAAGTGGGTAATTAGGGTGCCAATTACATTTAAAAAATTATTCATTGAGCATCTCCCAGGTGCCAGGAACTATGCTAGACACCGAGTTGGCTGGGGCAGACGCTATTATTGCTAACCCCCAATTTCAAGTATGTAGCTACAAGTGCTCTGACTGTCAGGCAAGGGATAGACTGTGGGATTATACCACAGAGAGATGTAACCTAGTCTAGGGCTCAGGAAAGCCTTCCTGTGCAGGACCCATAATACCCATAACTGCCAATGGGTAACCATGTGTTTTAGTGCATAGTCCACCACCTCTCTGGGCCCAAGTCTCATGATCTGTGTTTTATGATGTGTGGTTGCTGATTATTAAAAATTTCTGGGGCTACAGGTGCCTGGGTGGCTTAGTGGGTTAAGTGTCTGACTTTTGATTTCTGCTCAGGTTATGATCTCACGGTTTGTGAGTTAGAGTCCGGTGTTGGGCTCTGCGCCAACAGTGCAGAGCCTGCTTGGGGCTCTCTTTTTCTCTGCCCCTCTCCCACTCTCTCTCTCTCATAAAAATAAATACACTTAAAAAACACCTCTGGGGCTTTATGGTCCTCCATAGGATAATTGCTCCCAGATAGTTGACACACAGACCCACATGGCAGTGTCACTTTCTTTGCATTTTGAGCTCTTGAGGGAAAGACTGAGTCTTGCCAACCTCTGAATTCACTGTGCCCAGAAAGGTGTGCCTGGCAAGCAGCTGGTATTCAATGAATGCCAAAAAGGCATGAAAAGAGCACACTGTAGAAAGGAATCAAGTGTAACACTTGGCCCAGGGACATTTTTACAGGAAAACTCTAGTTCCCTAGAGCAAAGTGATAAATTCCAATACCATGGCTCTTAATCACTGTGTCTCATTATTTGCAATTGAAAGAGTCTCTTCTCGTAAGATAGTTTAAAAAAAGTAAAAACACTCTTATCTAGCATTTACTATGTATCAGATACTGTTTTTGAGAACTTTGCATTGGTTACCCTTATTGAGTCACCCTTATAAATATATGAAGTGAAGGGAAATCTCTTACAGTTCCTATTTTACAGTTGGAGAATGGAAGCACAGAGAGGGTAGTTCACTATCCCCAGGTTACATAGCCATTAGATGGCAGAAACAGGAATTGAGCCTAGGCTTCAGGTAATGGAGGCGATGCTCCTAACTGTTGCACTTTGTCAACTTTCTTGGAGGACCGAGACTGTCATGTTTTATTGTGCCTCATCTCTAATGATATTCCTCATATCCTATTTTTACTTTGTGTCATCTCTTTCCTTTGAGATTATGTGAAGGGATTATTGATTCTTGTAGCTGAAACTTTTCTTTGCTAGTGCATGTAAACCAGGAGTTCATTAACCAAGCCTATTTCTGGAATCATACCTTATAGACTGGAGCTCTGCACCAGCCTACAGTCATTCCTTACTTCATAATGAGGGTTTTCCTTTTTGCATGGCAGTCTCGTAAAAAAAAAAAAAAAAAAAAAAAAAAAGGTCATATGCTTGATCTCAAGAAACTATGCAATTGTTGCAAGTAACTTTCTGTGCTGGCCTTTGTATGAGAGAGAGGAAATGATCAGCATAAGCCAAGTGTTGGTGAAAGACAAAGTGATTCTACCTTGGGCGAGCTTTCCAGCCTCTGATGTTACTGCCAATTCTAGAAATCTAGGAACACTATGCCCAAGAAAAGAAGGAAAGTACCTTTGGCCATGATCGTGATATCCCTGACTCTTGCCCTCGTTGCTGCCCACATCTCTTTGGGTTTGCTGTGGATCATCTGAAGCTGCAGCTTTTAAAAACCAGAGGAGTTTCCCATAGCTCACCTGAAAATCCAATATGAAAAAGAACACTCTCATTTAATGTACTTATAAGATGGGAAATAAATGCCCGTAAGGGAAATGCCCGTTGAGATAGAGGGTATTTGGAATTTTTTTTACCATTAAAAGTTTCTAAAACAGCCTTGACAATATAGTATAATAATTATTAGTGCTTTCTAAAAACCAAATATTCCTACTCCTTTCCCTTCCTGATTGCCTTGTGGTTGGGTAGGGCTATGGGAACAATTCTGGCCAATGAGTTGCGAGCAGAAGTGACACACGGTCTTCCTGGTTGAGCATTAAACTGCTCATGGGAGCCCCTCCAGAGCTCTCTCTCTCTCTCTTTTTCTTTTCCCCTCTGCCAGCATGTGCAAAAAATACGCTAGAGTCTCTACTTCATCAGCCTGTGTTTGGGAAGTAAGATAGTAAGATAACGGCAAAACTGTGCCTGACCTATTACAGAAATGTAACTGAGAAATAAATTTTTGTTGTTTTGAGTCACTGAAACTTGGGGCTATTTGTTACTACAGCATAACCTAGTCTCTAGCTGCTCTCTCTCTCTCTCTCTCACCCACACATACACACACCTTATATATTTATTATATATAGCATTTGCTTGTATTTAGATATATCTAGGAGATATATTTGGATTATTTCAGCACAGGTTCTTATTAAGCTAAATGAAAAATCTTAAAACATCCCCTCCCTGGTCCTTTTTTTTTTTTTTTAACATGGGAAAGGACTGAAAGAATGTTGTCCATTTCCATTGCTGGTCTGGATGACATCCCAGGGACTCTGGTGGGCATACAACTCCAGGAAAGTGCAGTGTTCAGAGTAAGAACCCTGGACTTGTCACTGGGGAGCCTTAATCTCTGCTTTGGGCCCACCATTAATTCTCTGAAGTGCACTGAGCAATTTCCTTACCCCACTCTGGGTCTCAGTTTCCCAGTTAGTAACATGGTGGTGAATTAGATTTCAAAGATACCTCCCACCTCTAACTCTTTAGGAACTCTCTAGAATGATACATCCTAGTCAAATTCTCCAATCTTATCTCAGAGCCTACAAACTGACCAACTTGTAAGTTGCTCAAGTGGGCCCATTTTCTTGAATCTGTAACCCAATAGTGCTAAGAGCAGACAATGAAAGTCAGGAACAGCAGTCGTTTAAAAAGAAATTAAATAGGACTAAGAGGCCTTAATCCATTTTTTATTCTGCTCTCTTCTGACTAGAAACTTCCACATATAAATATGAATAAGCTTTGTATCTTAGGAGTCAATAGTACGGTTATTTTTAAAAAAGAAACTAAAAAAAAAAAAGAAAGAGAGACTAAACTTTTAATTCTATTGCTCTTATGTGTGCAAGTAAAATAAACAAAAGGAACCCATGCTTGGAATAGCAACATGGCCGTACCATTTCTGGAGAGTCCCTCTTAGAAAATCTCTGGCACAGGACCTTGACTGTTGGTAACTGTAGAGGGACTTCGTGTCTTAAGAAAAGACGGCTCAGTTGAGACTGGAGAAGAAATCCCGAAGAGATAGGATCCAGGGTCTTCAGCTCTTTCTGAAGCTTTTCTAGTAAGCTGGAGCTCAAAGGGCGTGCGTGAAGCTCTCTTCTGACCAGGGCAAGAAGAAAAGCATCTTCTCTTGTTGTTCCACTTGGCCTCTGGCCAAAATCCTGACACGAGAGCAACAGCAGCAATAAGGTAACACAGCTCTAAAATGAGAAGGCTGAAGGCCAATGCAAAGAAGCAGAAGCCTAGAGGGGCTGATATCAGAGCATTCACTTTCAGGCCTAGCCTAGAACAGCGCAGCTGGTAACACCTAGAGGTAGGTATTCATTCTGGGCACAAATATTAATCTCCAATGCCTTGGACTGTTGCCTTCAGAAGAAGAAAAGAAGCAAACCTTTTTAGAGCACATACTCTATTAGAAGTCTCCTTAAGGGATATCATCTGTCTTCTACCAAATAATTTTTTAATTATAAGGGAATTTAGAATGCCAAGTGTTAGAGACACGTTGTATCCAGAGGAAGAAGGTGGAAGAAAGATGAGAAGTTAAGCTGAGACAGTCAAGGTTTGCCTATAAGCTTACCAAGGGGCTTCTGGGAAGCTGATTCATCATATGGCCTCTAGTGTCCCCCATTATCTTATTATCTGCTGCACATTCAAATATACAGGCAACAAGTAATACCCTTTCATCCACAATAGAAAACAAGTCAAGTCTTCGTATACATACCTCAGGTTGGTCAGAGCTTCCCCTTGCCATCTGTTCCAAAGACCAGGCTCTGAGCTTTCTCCTGGGGAGGCCATGAATATAGGATAGGGACTGGTCTCCAGTTGGTACCGAGCTACAATGGGCATTTGTCTGGCTGGGAATCTTAAAGAAACAAAGACAAATAGTAGTAAAGGTCAAAAGGGGAGAGGAAAAGGGAAAGGAGAAAGAAGGGAGAATATGAATGAGGAAACAATCTCTTAAAACACATTCCTGGTTCCAAGCGACTTCAGCCCATGTAGTCATTGAATCAATGAGTCCCCAAAGAAGAAAGCTTGTCTCAACATCAATCTCAGCATTATGCAGTTAACACAGTTGACAAATCTATCAACAGTAAAACAATGCTGTTTCATTTGTGCAAGAAAGAAGGTGTCGATGACACACAAAGGAGAAATAGTATAATATAAGGCATTTATAGGCAAATATAGGGGCTCTTATTAGATATCAATGTATCCTTAGGCTGTTATATATATTTTTTTCTTTTTCTTTTTTTTTAAGTAAGCTCCACACCCAATGTGGGGCTTGAATTTATGACCCTGAGATTAAGACTCCTATGCTCTGCTGACTGAGCCAGCCAACCACTCTTTAGACTGTTTTAATTAGCAGATTGAGGAAGAGCAGAAAGGGCAACTGTGAATTTTGTCAGGAATGGAATAGAAGAAATTAAAAAGCCCAGAATATTATATCCCAAGAGCAGTGTTATTAAGGTTTACAATAGAATAAATGATGGGACAAGGCTGAGTGATGAAGTACCATTCCCTCCTGCAATAGCATAGGTGTATTAATCATGTTTTTAAAAAATTTTTCTGTATTTTATGATGTTTTGACACCTTTGGCAGCCTTGCCGGCTGGAAGAGATTGCCCTTCCCAGGATTAACTGATTTCTCATGAAGCAAGTATTTCCCCTGCCCCAAATCACCCCAGTCCAGATACTGGACAATTAGGGACAGCCCCTCTGCTCAAAGCCTGCTGGAATTATTCAAGCTAGCCAGTCCTAAGCTGTGTACCCAACACTGCCTTGCCTTTCCTGTGGAAACCCCTATAAAGACTGTAGCTTGTGCTTTCCCCTCGCTTCTGCCTCCTGACAGAGCTTAGGGCTTCCCCATGGGTTCCTACGATATATGGCATGCCTCCTTTGGGTGGGAAATGTGAGAAACTATTCCTTCAAAGGCAGTTGTCACCATATCTGCTACTGTGTCATACCAGATAAAAATAAAATCTTGGGAATATATTAAGACACATGACTATTTTTAATGAAAGGAGACATTATCAGAAGGATTCACTGAAAGCTGAATATCTGTACTCAGTTGAGAGTCATGGTGAATAACCTGTCAGTATGGATAGCAACCTATAGGTCCTTTACAGTCGGGAAGGATTTTAAAGAAAAATCAAAAGGCTCTCTAGAGTGGGAAGAGTGAGCAGGAGTGGTAGGGAATTCTAGAATAGGCATAAAATTAATGACATTGGGGAGCCTGGGTGGCTCAGAGAGTTAAGCATCAGACTCTTGATTTCAGCTCAGGTCATGATCTCATGGTTCATGAGATCGAGCCCCGCATTGGGCTCTGCATCGACAGCGCAGAGCCTGCTTGGCATTTTCTGTCTCTCTCTCTCTCTTTGCCCCTTCCACACTCATGCTCTCTAAAAATAAATCAATAAACTTAAAAAAATAATAAGACTTTTTTGGACACATACTCTGTACAAGGCATCACAGGGAGGCTTTGTTTATGTCATTTGTTTTTATCTTTACAACAACCCTATAAGGCCAGTAAGGTTAACACCCTTTTATATCTGGAAAGCCAAGGCTTTCAGAAGTTAAGTAAGTTTCTTCCTTCGTTTAGGAAATGTTGGTGGCTTGCCTGACCTGGGCCAGGTACCATGACAGGCACTTGAGTGACCAAAAGAGATTTGGCCCCTGCTCTCACTGAGCTTGTAGACAGTGAGAGACACACCAGCACTTGTGACAGTACCATATGGAGCAGTGAGAGTCACTGTCAGAACTGTCCACAGGGCCACCTAAGCTGGGCTTGGTGGTTCAGGTCTTGAAGCAATGACATTTAAGTCTAGGCTTGAAAGAGGTGTCGATTTGGATTCAGAGGGCTAACTAGTGGAGAGAGAGGAGAAGAGAAGAATGGCTCAGGAAAAGGATACTGGATTTTGAAAACCTCAAAGGTGCACACATGCTCCTAAGAGAGACATGGATGCTTCCAGAGCATAGTTTAAGTTTTGAAAAAGGCAAAAAATAAGGCTTCAGAGGGAGGTAGGAGAAAGGGGGTGAATTGCCTTAAGTCCTAGTAGCCTCTTGGCAATGGGGAGCCATGGAAATGTTTTCAGAAGAGCTATGACTAGGTCAGAATTGGCCAAAATTGGGGCACCTGGGTGGCTCAGTCAGTTAAGCATCCTACTCTCGATTTCAGCTCAGGTCATGACCTCACAGTTTGTGAGATCGAGCCCCATATCAGGCTTTGGATTCTCTGCCTGGGATTCTCTCTCGCATTCTCTTTCTCTCCTGCTGGCATATGTGCATGCACATTTTCTCTCTCTCAAAATAAATAAATAAAGATTAAAAAAAGGGAATTGTCCAAAATTTCCCCCCTAGTAAGTTGTACAGATCAGATTTGAGCCCTGCATTTCCCCCACTGCCCCAGGAGGAGAGAGTATCTACATTTAGTCCACAGAGCAGTTTCATCTTGTAAAGTATCTGGTTTGGTATTTCAGGTGTTTCCTACAGCATTTTTTTTCTTTCTTTTTTTAATTTTTAAAAACATTTATTCCTTTTTGAGGACAGAGAGAGACAGAACATGAATGGGGGATGGGCAGAGAGAGAGGGAGACACAAAATCAAAGCAGGATCCAGGCTCTGAGCTGTCAGCACAGAGCCAAGCATGGGGCTCGAATTCACAAACCACGAAATCATGACCTGAGCTGAAGTTGGATGCTTAACCAACTGAGCCACCCAGGTGCCCCTAGAACATTTTCTTAGAACAATATGTTTCTTTGGAAATTACTTGTAATATAAAACATTTCCATTTTCAGCCACATATAAATATTTTTCTGCCTCTAAGAATTGATACACTTCTTTCTATATTGCAGGATTGTTTTTAATGTTTATTTATTTTTGAGAGAGAGATAGAATGAGAGCAGGGGAGGGCCAGAGAGAGACACACACAGAGAACCCGAAGCAGGCTCCAGGCTCTGAGCTGTCAGCACAGAGCCTGACATGGGGCTCAAACTTGCAAAGCATGAAATCATAACCTGAACTGAAGGCAGACACTTCACTGCCTGAGCCACCAGTTGCCCTTATGTTGCAGGGTTCTGAAGGAGCGTTCATCAATACTTCATCATTCCAATAGAGTCAAGGTGTCCCTTTCTTCATGTAAACACCGTTTTGAGTGCCTTTATCTTCACTTCAGATACAGGTGAACAAAGGTGTGCTTCTTGCCCTCACAGATATTTTAGCCTAGATGTCCATAGACTAAATTTTATAGCCTCTCCTATGGAAAGATGAAAGTATGTTCTACTCCCAGGACTGCTGTGAGGAATGAGTGTTATAACGCATTTTAAACAATTTGTAAATTCTAAAACTGGATTTGTTATTTGCTGTGTGTCTCAATAGAGTGAGAGCTCTGTGTGGGCCAGAACTGTCTTGTTTGCATCCTGCTGACTCCCAGCATTTAAGAACAGTGCCAGATTTGAAGAATGAATAGAGAAACACGGTGTGAGAAAGCTGACCATGGCCTGTTGAGGCTCTGGAGGCCTGTGCCTGGCTTCAGATTTCCCCTTCACTGATATCAATCAGCCTGGGCTGTTGTTTTTCCCAACATTGTATTCACAAAGTGTCAAAGAAGATAACATGGAATGTTTTGACCAAGAATTACCATGTATCTGACTTCAGAGGTTGCCAGAGTATCTGTAAAATCTCTAGTTCTACAGATTTCTCTCCTTTGCTTTTCTTTGAATCACAAAATAGTGCTTGTGGATGGCACACAATGAATTTGGGGCATAAGCCTTGTGATATTTACCTAGAAGGATTGTTACAAATGAAGCACAGAAGTTTAACACAGACTTCGGGGTTGGGAGGGGTGGGGTGCTTGGGTGGCTCGGTCAGTTGAGCATCCAACTCTTGGTTTTAGCTCAGGTCATGATCTAATGACCATGAGATTGAATTCCATTTTGGGATTCTCTCTCCTTCTACTCTCTCTGCACACCCCTCCCCCCCCCTTAGTATCTTTCTCTCAAAATAAATAAATTAAAAAAAGAGATTTAACACAGATTTAGCAATTCTTGGGGCTTGGGGAGTGTAAATAAGTGTTTTTTAAAAATATTGGTTATTAGGGGGCCTGGGTGGCTCAGTTGGTTAGGTGTCCGACTTTGGCTCAGGTCATGATCTCACAGCTTGTGAGTTCGAGCCCTGCAGCATCAGGCTCTGTGCTGAAAGCTCAGAGCCTGGAGTCTGCTGCGCATTATGTGTCTCCCTCTCTTTCTGTTCCCCTCCCCACCACCACTCACACTCTTTCTCTCTCACAATAAACAAGTTATTAAAAAAATATTTTAAAGGGGTTATAATGTGATGGGGGCACCTGGTTGGTTCAGTTGGTTGAGCATCCAACTTCAGCTCAGGTCGTGATCTCTCGTGTTCCAGAGTTTGAAACCAGCATAGGGCTCTATGCTGACAGCTCAGAGCCTTGAGCCTGTTTCAGGTTCTATGTCTCCTTCTCTCTCTCTGCCTCTCCCCTGCTTGTGCTCGCTCTCTCTCTCTCTCTAAAATAAATGAATATTAAAAAATTAAAAAAAATTAAAGTGGTTATATTGTGGAATCCATGAACACCTTCCTCCAATACAAGAGAATACGATAGATTGTCTCCACACTGTGCAGTGCATAGCTGGTGCTTCAGAGCAAATCTGCAGAGACCGCATCTAATGCAGATTTGAAAAGTTCTGCTTCTTCAACATTTTAGACCAAGGTGTTGATGTGTTCTAGAAAGCTGTTAAATGGCTCAAAAAGAGATGCTAGTGATAATAAATACAATCACAAGAAAGATGGATATAAAAAGCTTGATAGGATTTCATAAGAAATGTAGAATTGAAAAAAAAAGCATTTCCAAATTA